GTTAGTTAGAGATTTAGCTTTAGCGTTTCATTTAATATGTATAGCTTACAAATGTTTAATAAAGCACACTTAACTAATCTGACAGAGGGTAAAAAAAAAAAAAAAAAAAAAAAAAAAAACAAATTCATATAATAATTGAGAAATAATATTTTTAAGATAATCTATAATAATAAATTATTATTATTAATTTTAATAGATAGATTAAAAATTAAAGATTAATTTATTAGAGAAGTTTTTTAAATCTGATTTAGAATACTTTGTTTAGATTTTTGTTTAATTCAAACTAGATTAATTTCAACTAATTGAGTTGTCATGCGAAAGTAGATAATTATTTAATATCTCAATAAAGACATGATTATTAATTAAGAAAATATATATATACTGTATATACTTTACATTGTATACGTATTACTGTATATACAGTATACAGTTAATATATCTCTTTTTTTTTTTTTTTTACTAAGGTTTCTTGTATTGCAAATATCAGGCACACCTATGCTCTTAACCGAAAATTTTTTGTAATACGTGAAAATGCAAACAAAACAAAAGTACAGATAATTTCATGTGATCCCCTGATTTACGAAAATCGCATGCACAATTTTTCCCATTTAACCATTACACCGCGATGGTTAACCGATTAATCATTAGCCGAATTGGTTGATCGGGTTAATCGATTAACTATCCTGCTAGTTGAGTGCTTTAATTTCTGTATAAATATCCAAATTTTTATTTCGCGCTCTACGGAATTCATTCAAACACGATGTTTCATTTCCCTTATCTAACACTTCCGTTAGTAAATAATGGAAGTAATAGAAGAAGTCAAGTTTGGAATTATTTCACAGATCCATACGCTTCATCCGGTGAAACTCTTAAAGTGAAGTGTAAATTTCCCGGATGTGGAATTGAGTTAACCTATTCGGGTTCTACTTCATCACTAAACTATCACTTAACAGCCCACGAGAACCGTAGAAAAAAATCGAATAAAATAAAACAAAAACAAAAACAATCCCTTTTATCTATTAGGAGTCTCCCATCCATTAAACCCACAAATTTTCAAATCAATGATTCGTATAATCAATTGCTTCCTAAACTAACGAATATGCTTCAACGGGTTAAATCTGTATCATTAGCAATTGTAACTTGGGACCTTGCAAATTATGATTCTTACACAGAGATAACTTGTCATTGGGTTTCGGATGATTTTCAACGACGCGAAATTCTTCTGGATATTGTTCAAGCCTCCGAGTCTTTTAATTATGGTTGTGAAATTCCTGAATTCGTTAAAGAAGTTTTAGTTAGATGGAGGCTGGACGAAAAAGTTACATCAATAACCACAAAATTTATGAAAGAATCTAAGAAGCCAAGTGACAATTTGTATTTAGATTGTATGTCGTCTCAAACACTTGAACGCGTCGCAAAAAACCTCTTAAATACGAGAATCTCTGATTTTTATGAGATCGAAGAAACGAGTGATTTAAACAAAATAAATAACAGCATAAAAAAACACCAGAGATTTGATCGCTTATTTAATCAAGTGGGAGCAGGAACTTCTTAGGGAGATACTTAAAGATAATGAAGATTATAAAATTGATGATTTATTAGAAGGGGATTGTGGCGAGTCAATATTTATTTTAAATGCATTGAGGTATATAGTAATATTAGAGAATCCAATCCGACAATGGATTAGCGCGCACTATGTAATGATGAAGAAACCGTATATAAAGGACAAAGGTTGAATAGTCTGCTACCGGATACTATGATAATTGGAATTTTCGCTAGATTAAATTTATACATGAATCCATTAAGAACCATGATTCAAGAACTTAACGGTACTGGATATATGTATGTTACTTTATGGGACAAACTCTTTCGCCTCTTTCGTAAGTATTATGGAAAGTCAGGTCGTGGTCTTCAAGTGATACATGGGGATCATAGGAGAATCGAGGATTATGTTCTATTTATCGTTGATATAATTCAGAACGGGTTTGATCCTCATCCTCATAGTCTTCACCATAAACTCCTATTTTTCAACCCACAGACTAAAGATGATAATCCCGATAAATATTATGAGGTAAAATTTTATCATTACTCGTATCGTTGATATAATTCAGGACAGGTTTGATCCTCATCTTCATAATCTTCACCATAAACTCCTATTTTTCAACCCACAGACTAAAGATAATGATCTCGATGAATATTATGAGGTAAATTTTTATCATCATTACTTGCTCACTTTCCAAGTATTATTTATTCATTTTCTGCATTTTTATAATAGTGCTCTGGGGATGAAATTGAGTCAGAGTATCGAGGGTTGATTGCAAACCAAAAATCATCGCAGCGAACACTGGTTGATTCCATACCGGTGACGAGTTTAGGGAACCCGGTGGAAGACGAATTTGATAGATACCTAATGTTAGATGACCAAAGTAAATTCGCTGATCCTATCGAGTGGTGGCGTCAACACGAAAATGAATTTCCCGTCATGTCCATACTTGCACGAAAGTATTTGGCCATTCCTCTAACACGCTACTCCCTCGAAAAATCCTATCTTGAACATTGTAGAACCCTGGAAACTTTAATAAAGGATCTCCCTGATTTTGACGCGGCCAAAAAATATAAATTTTTACAACACAATGGGAAGTATTTGTGCTGAAGGTACCGCTCCCGCTTTCCACGGTCAAAAGTTTCTGATGTAGGTTCAGTAATTCCAGCGAGGTCATAAATTTTTAGCAAGTATACTTTGTTTGATGCATCGAGGCGCTGGCACATTTTAGCTCAAAATTTTATCCTCCATTTATCACGTGCTGTAAGGGCGCTTGTTTTACGACACAGAGGTTCTTTTACGCTTTTTAAAAACGCGTATCAACTTCCACAACAACCGTCATCATCATGTTGATCATGTAAAGGGTCGTATGATAAAAGAAAAAAATCAAGTTGTTAGGCCCTTAAAGAAAAGTCATTTAGCACAAGTGCTAGGTCTATATGATGATCGAATATTATGTGATATATCTTTCAATAGTTTTAAATTCATTTTATCAATATTCATATTATCAATCGAACTTTGTGATGGTTATAAAAAAAGGAAAGATGAACGTGATCACGTGGGTAACATATCTCACGGAATTCTATTAGGAAAATATGTACACGATTAAACAATTATTCTATATAACTTTTCTTTTTGAGGGAAACCGAACATTAAATAAAAAATTTCCCTGATTTCTAATAAATTCGAATGAAAGAAAGGAGATGTCATAATCTCTCATTTCATCGATCTCATTCGGCGATCGTTGAAATAACTCTTCAGGTCGAATCGGATGTCGCGAAGAATCGTCTCGATGCTTTGAGATAATTCTATCTTTTTATAAGCGCGGGAAAACTTGGAAATCAAATAAAGGAACTTCGATTTAATCTCGTCTGCATAGTTTTCTGACACCGCGAAATCCCTTATCTGACCAAGAATGTTTGCCTCGTCGTATGCTATACCACGCAAAACATACATTATCAGAAGAATTTTTAACAAAACCAGGGTGATGAAAACGAAAAATTCCTTACAAGAAGTATCAGCCGATATCTGCCTCCTTAACTCCGCAGCGAATTTCGATGATTCCAATGTCCTAAGATCAGAATCTAAGGACGAATATCGCGTACTTTTTATTGACCTCCAACGAGATACGCCTGTTTCAGAGCCTTGACTCTCACCCGACGTTTGATTTGCATCAGAAACCCGACCCTCAATAAGCGCTTGGCCTCCATCTGACACACGACCAATATCAGGCATTTTATCCGCATTATAGACTTTGCTTGCACTAGACACTTCATTCACATTAGTAGGAGCCACATCATCCATATCAGTAACCTGACTCACGGCCTGGCTCAGCATATCCAAACCAGTGTGTTCTTGAGAAAGCACCAACTCGGCGGCACGACTCAGAAAATCAAGGTTATTTGGTTCTGCGCTTTTTTCTGAAGCGGAAACCCCTGTGTTCTCAGCGTTCCCCTCATCCTCAATCGTTGCAATTTTTTGTGAAGAGCAACTTTCAACAGATTCGACCTTATCCATAGATATTACACCCTCGGCATTGTCGCTATTATTCTGCTTTTGCTCTGATTGCGGTTGGCTTGTCGTCAACACAGTGCTCAAAGATGCAAGCACGTCAAGACCAGTTTGCGGTGAAGAATCGGTTATCTCGGAATCCTCATTTGATTGATTGACCTCTTCCACAATGATCGATGCAGGGGTGTGACTTTCATCCACGTTCATTGGTGTGGATTCAAGCGAGAGCGGAGACGAAGGTGATTCCGAGGTTTCGCTGGCTGGGGACAACGGCGAACTTAATGTTTGAAAGTTGTTATCCATCCTCACAGGTTGTGATTTTATTGCTTGGTTTGGGGGCAATCTTGTTGAACCAGCGTGTGAATTTGTGGGTAATTTTAAAGATCGAGTTTTCGTTGATGCCTCTATGGTTGTCGTGATCTGCCTTCCAACGACAATCACGAATGGTTTGACACTTTTCTCGGGAAAGCCAGGAAAATAAATGGATTTCGGCGTGGCAGATAGTTTATCCCGTATCTTAGATGGCAATTTTGGAAAGGTCCTTTTCGGAAGTGGTTTCTTTAAGATAAGAATCAAGGAAGTTAGACAACATAGGCATTTAGAAATTCCGAAAACATAATGACTCACCAGTTCACGATTCTTAAATGGACTACCGAAAGCGCGTTGATCTCGTTTTGTCTTCTTCCCAACATTCTCTTCGTATGGGTCCCTCAGCTTATGCTTATCCCTTTTGGCCATGACCTCTTCGTAATTTCCCATAACCACTGTGTTCACTGAATGAGCAGGATCTAGAAAAAATGTTGGTGATCCCTATGACAAATAATTGAGGCATAAACAATGTGTGTGCGTTATCAATAAAAACGAACCTGGCTCGCTCGGCAGTTGTGCAAGCGTCGTAATTTTACGAATATTTGCAAGTGCCCTTTCTGCCTGAACATTACCTTCTATACTCTGGAAATTAATAATATTAGAATCAAGAATGTTCGACTTCAAAAAGAGATCGACACGTTAACGGTAACGAACCTTTTCAGGATAAGGAGTGGGCCTGGTGATGGACTAGAAGTGTTGAGAATTAAGTATCTAATATATACACAGCATATATATATATATATTTTTAACAAGTATTAACGGTGCATGAATCAACTTACGTATCGATTTTTCGTTATGTCATTCTTCATCTGATCATATTTCAGATGCGCTTGCTGGACCGCTTGGTATATCACCGCATCAATTCCTTCGGTTTTAGGCTTTGAGAAAAATCCACTGGGTACAATTTTTTCGAGCTTACAAGTAACGAATACCTTGGCCAACGGCTTTGTAAATAGGCATGCATGTTAGATTTCGATAAAAGTCGAATCAGAAACATTACGGGTCTCTGCTACCTGCAGGTAGTACCAAGGCAGGTTTTTTCTGTATATTTCCATACTCTCTTTCCACGATGGAGATGGTTCCACATACTGTTTGGCTTGATCTATGTATGTGAAATAAGAATTTCATTGACCAACTAATAATCAAAGAATAGTAAGCTTAAAAATTCATATGCAATATTTACACATACGCAATAATTTAAATAACGAGGGGAAATTGTAGGGTAGTATCACAAGGCTAACTTCTAGATCATATTCATTCTTCTTGTTTGCCACCAAGTATCCAAATGGTTCTCCATACTCCGAAATCCTGCTACTATTGCGAATGTAAACCTGCACGTGTGATTTTATTTTTTTCGTTGTTTCCATTAGACCTCCTTTTCGTGATCCGTGAATTAAATGTTAAGTTCAAAATAGAATACAAACCGGCCATTTTGTGCCGGGTTTCTGACATTTTAACTCCCGAGTCATTTCGCATTCCGACACAACGTATGTATCACGTGGGAAGTTCAATGGCAATTCGTGAGTCTTGTAGAAATCCTTATTTTTCCAATAGGCGATTGTCGGTATCGACTTGCGTCGAGTCTTGAAGGAATGGATTCTTGGTGAGATGAATTTACGTAAACCGATCTCACAAGTTTTTAAAACTCACCAAAGATGGTATTTCCATGGGATACCTGACAGCTTCTGGTTCGATCCAAAAATCCTCGGGTATTGGATAAAATCCTTCGAATTTGAGTGGGTCGACATATATTTGTTCGAGGCAATTATTAACCTTGGGATCATAATCTACGATAAATGAGTAAAAAGTATGTATCAGATCCAAATAAGATGATAATGTCGACGGACGCTAAACGGACGTACTACTTGTTGCTTCGACAAAATTTAAATTCACCCCACACGTCGAAAAGATATTATATGGATAAATTTCTTTAGCATGCTCGTAAAAATCCTTGTCGGTACCGAGGATATTTCCAATTACTTTAAGAACGTCATCAGACGTCTGCAAACTATACAGTTGACCTAATACGCGTGTAAATTTTGTTTCGAGTTGCCATGACATAATCAGGAAAAAAGAAATCTCATTCTCTTTATCCACCTCTCATTCTACTATTCAGCTCTTGCAATGCGGTAGGCACCGTATAAGTTTGTGATGAAAGATAGAAGGTGAATAACTTTTGATCCCAGCGATGCTTTTCCTGGTAAAATATCGAGCTGGGTGTGGGGCCATCTTCGGACTGAAAATTTGACGCGATATGAACAAAAATGTGCAGAAACGAAAGCGCACAAGGTCGATTGTTTAGAATAAGACTTACTTACTTGATATTCGAGAAAGGAATTTAAGAAATCCAAGTTGCTGCCGTCGGTAAACCAGAATATGCCCGTCGTTTCATTATGTTCAACATATCGACCCTAAAGTATTTAATTCCATTAATAATACGCTGTGGAGATTCTTTGACTAAAGCATCACCTATCGTACGTAGCATGATTAACCAGATACAATCCGTACCCGATAGAAAGAGTCCATGTGTCTGATCATTCGACGCAAACTCAAAAACTCAAAAACTGACGCAAATCCTGTTCCGATCCTTGAAGCTTCGGTTGGTAACAATAATTCGAGCTGTTCTAAGAAAATGTATATCGGATCATGATACTCTGTCTGCAAAAAAAAAAAAAAATATATGAACTTTGAAATTAGGAAAGGGTTTCAATTCAATTCGAAAATACACCCATTATCGCTCGATGTTAACTTACCTTGATGCAATAACGCAAACGGTCCGACGTCGCCAAAATATACTTCACGCTATGATTATTTTTGCCATTGTTCACTTGCTAATATGTGATAATGAACAAATTGAACGACAACGCGATAAAAGATGCCGAGAAGAAATGACTCACATGCAAAAAACTACGAATGAACAATTTGGCAAGGCCCAACAAGTTATATCCGTCGATGGTCTTCGAAGGGCAAACATCCACCAATAATACGATGATCATTTTTTACGTGCATCATGTTCGAAAAACGACCAATGCACGTATTTATAGTTGATTTTCCACGATCAACGTTACACATTCCGACAACCAGACTAGCTTTATTGAGTAAAAAAAAGGGTTGGGTTGCCATTCTACAGTACATACAGTATATTCGTTCATAAATTGTTTATTTTTATAATTAGTTATTATTGGAAATTTTTATTTTTAAGATTTATTATTGAGTTTACTGATGATAGAAACATATAATTTTTTATTGATTCTTATAAATAATAAATATGAATAAAAATTATTTATCATTGATTTCTAAATAATTTTTTGAAGTTTTATTTAAAAATAAATATTAAAAGAAATATTATTGTAAAATTATGTTTTGATTTTAAAACAATTAATTAATTTTTCAAATGCACAAATATTTTACATTGTTTTATCAATAACAAACTATTTATAAAAAGATATTAGAATAATCATTAACAATACTTTTATTATAAATAAAAATAATTAAATAAAAATAAAATATATCAATTTAAAAAATTAAAAATAAAATCTTGAATTAAACCAAAATAAAATTTATTAAATTTTAATACAAATAAATTAAAGAATAGTTTTTTATTATAATTAATTACAAACAATAAATTATAATTTAAATTTTCAAATGAATTTATTAAAAACTCTTTTCACTAATTAATTTTATCACTAATTTCAAAGCAATATTCATTAGAAATTTTATACTTTTATATTAATAAAGTTACTATACTATCACTAAATACACTTTGTAAACATACTACAAAACATCTTCTATCTAATTTTATCTTTTTTTCATTCCTTTGGTTGACTTAAGTATCAGTTTCAAGTCAAAAATAAATAAGATAGAACCTAAACTCCTAATGGCAAGAAAAGATACTTAAGAAAAAGACTTTTGGTTGAAGACTCTTCTTCAAAACTCTATTATAGAGTAGGCAGATCTATAAGAAGAGTATTTATCAAAAACTATGCCATGTACAATGGTCTTGTCTTCTAGGAAATTTACTAAACCCCAAGCTTCCTGAAGTATGTAAATAAATTTTCAATTTTTTTAGAAAATTTTGTCTACCTCTTTTGACCCTGAATTTTTAGTTATACCAGATTTGATAAAATTTTATTGATTAAAAATTTGGAGTTGAATAATACTATCCATAACAAAAAATAAACAAGATATATATGTATTTCACATGTCCTTTTTTGTATTACCACCCTTATAGATAGATATTGCTCTCATTGTAATCATTAACTTAATCCAGTATAAGTACTTTAAGGACTACATATACTTAGGCCTATTTGATAAAATTACATCCTTCAATAAAATTGAAAAAAAAAATCCATTCAATCATAATAAAGGTTACAAGACACTTCAATTATTTTTAGTATTGAAGTCACCTATTCTTGATAATCAAGTAGGTTTTAGTAGCTTTCACAGATAGATAAAGATCTATTTTATTTTTATAAAAATAAACAATGTAAATAGGAAGTTTTTTTCAGCTGACGGATTTTTTATTTCTAATTTATGATTTATAAAATGATCACAAATTAAAGATTAATATCAAGACTTTTAACATAACTTCCACTCAAGTATTATTATCTTGATCATTAGTAGTATCCATCAATCTTATTTTTAGTAAATGTACTTATTGAAAACTATTATCAGATTAGAAAATTTTCTAAAGACTTAGCCTGATTTTAAAAGAGTTGTGCCTTCTTAAATAAGCAGCTTATACTGAAGCTAATATTATCTTTAGAATTGGATTATTAACTCCTTATAAGTTTTAAGACACCCTTCTAACTGTAGATCTCACCTAATTTTTGGATGAGTAGTTCCTTAAGTAGACTTTCAAATAAAATAATATCAATAAAGCTGGTCTTTAAAACTATTTTCCTCTATTTGAAAAGAAAAAGATATAAAAGAAGCTCTTTCCTCTCCCTTTCAAAAATAAAAAGACACAATACTCCACTATCTAAATCATTGATTTATAATATTTTCTAACTTTTGTTCCTATTAAAGCAAAGAGCTATGAATTTTGTCCCTCAAAAAGGATATAAGTAATCTGTGAAATTTTATATGCTAAATACTTTAATGACCCATCATTAACTACATGTACTCAAAAAAAATTAAATATTTATTAGTATTTCAATAAAAATATATTAAATTAATATAATTATAA